ATGACAAATATGCAATCATCGATGAAATGTTATCTTTGTGGCGCTTCTCCAAAGGAAATGAACGATTTGAATTTAATAAAAGAGAAAATTGTGAAAGATGAATATTTTTCGTTTGGACTTTCTTCATTACATTGCTGGATTCGCTGTTTCGAATGTTTATTACATATTTCGTATAGAATCAATATCAAATGTTGGGCAGTGAGGGACGAGAGTCACAAACGAAATGTCGAGCAAAGAAAGAGTGAGATACAAACTGCTTTTAGGATAAGACTAGGTCTTTTAGTAGATGTTGTAAAACAAGGAAAGGGTACATCAAATGATGGTAACACTGCTAGAAAATTTTTTGCCAATCCAAAATTATCAACTATTATCACAGATTTAGATGAAAATCTGATAACCCGATTTGGAATCTTGTTGCACGCAATCGCTAGTGGTAAAAGGATTAATGTGTCGAAGTTCGAATCCTATGCTTTTGAAACCGCCGAAATATTCGTATCCTTGAACTCGTGGTATTATATGCCAGTATCAGTACACAAATTATTGATTCATGGGAGCGATATTGTAAAAAATGCTATTGTACCAATAGGACAATTATCTGAAGATGCTCAAGAAGCAAATCACAAATATTTTAGAAATTACAGAGAGAATCATTCGCGAAAAATGTCGCGGAATCAAAATAATGAAGATATTTTCAATAATTTGTTGATTGCTTCAGATCCAATAATATCTAATTCACGGAAAATAATGGAATATAAGAAGAAAGAATTAACTGAAGATGCAAAACGTTTATTATAATTCAGTGATGATGACTTAGATGACCAAATCCAAAAAAATGTGAGACAAGGGGGTTCACAAAAATCTAACACCCCGAGGGATTAGATATCTGCCATATCCAGATCGTTAATGCTGAGAGCCTTCGAGCAAATGAATTGATACATTTTTGAAATCTGATAATACCAATACATTTTGATGCGTTCATATTACATTTTTTCTCGTCCCTTCATTATATCAGGAACAACATTAAAATTCAATATTAACTCTACATTTAATCAATGTCTGAATTTACATGTGTCCGTGCCGTGTAGCTATTACTGAGAGTCAAATTGATTTTAAACTTTATTTCTTTTCAAAAATCTTATATATTGTTTATTGTTCTCATTTTTATATTTTCCATTTACTTCCTTCCAAAAAAATGGAACGTTATGAAATGATTATTTATATGTTTTGTCGATAATAATAAATTTTTATTAATTTTGATGTCATTAACATTAAATATACCAATCATATATCATTTATATTAAATTTCAAGTTATTCTGTTGCAAAATGTGGAAATTATAAGCAAATGACCGAAAATCAACGCGTTCGCCCCACTGTGCGCCGTTAGCTCGTAGCGAATCTCCTCGAACGCCGCGCAATTGTTCACCAGCCTCGTTGCCGGCGCGCCTTCCCCCTCCGCGTCCGACGATCTCTTCGACTCGAGTCTACCCTCGACGTAGAGAAAACTGTCGCACGGTAACGTATACAGATCTTGCTGTTGTATAGGAATTCGTATCTCGTCGCTATTTCCGAACGTGGTATTGGCGTAAGGGTTGTACGTATGAGTCTCGATCTTGACGATACGATCGTCGATGACCGGCTCCCCGCCGATGCTTAGAATGTCGCTCATTTTCGCTCTCACGAAGAAGCGGTCTTCGGCACGACGAAACCCAAGGAGCGCAGGAAAGCCGCGTTGGCGACGGTAAACCTTCCTTCCTCCTTCCTCCTCTTCGCGTCTAGGGGCGACGCGACGACGGGCGCGTTTCTCGCGTTCGACTCGTTCACGACAAGCATCGCACGCCTCTCTACCGTCTTTGCCGCACGTGCAGACGAACCGTGATCTCCTCGCCGCGAAAATCGATCAATCTTCCGTTCTTATCCACAATGCGCACGTTTATATCAGTGATGGTCCGCGCGATGATTGGGAGGTAAATAATCTGCGCCGGGATCTCCGACACTTCATATCAGGGTGGAACGTTCGGCGCGAACTCGTGTATAGTATGCACAGATTTGTTGTTGTGGTACGCCCCTGTCGTGATGTTGCACTCTACGCGAATGAGATTAACGGCCATAATATTTATCGGTTTATCGGACGCGTACCATTTATTCAATTGTAACACGCGAGACGAGAAACCCGTAGCAAACCAATGTTATATAGTATATGTTAGGTTTGGTAAAATTTACTCGATACGCGCACTTGATCTCGCTTCTTATAGTGTTATCGTTACCGCGAAGCGCTATGGAACTTTCACCTTTATCACCGTTCTCATCGTCCTCGAAATAGTCGTCATCGCGGTCGTCGCCGACGTTGTATATGTAATCCTCATCGCTCGTTTCCGGTTTTGCGTCTCCGCGCTCTCGCCTCTTTTCTCTCGCTCGTCGTTTGCGACAAATCGCGGCTCTTAGATACGCGCTTATAGCGCTTAACTCGTAAGATCCTACCGGAATCGCGATAACCTCGTCGTTATCATCGAAGTAAAATTTATTGTTCGTAGAATTTACGTTCGGTATCGTGTTGTAGATTTTGAAATTGGTTAGACCTAACTCGTAATCGTCGTCGTTCAGATCCAGGGGCGGAAAGTAGCTCGCCGCGAGGACGCTGCTTCGTCCGGAAAAAGTGAGAGTCAGCGACATGATCGGCGAGAGCGGTCGAACTGCGCTCGATCGACGAACAACGGCCGATGTTATAGTCAGAGATTTCTCCAATCGACCCCCCGGAGAAATCAAAGACTCAATTGTCCGCAGATATTCTGATCGCGCGTCTGCTCGAAACGACGATTGTACCGTCGCGTCGCGCTCGAGATAACGCGCGAGTTTGCGCGGCGAACGAAGATTGCCGAAACCGTTGTAGTAGATCGCGTCGCCCCCTTTCTTCGCGTACGCTATCCAATGAGTACCCGCTCCGGACGCGTCATCCAAATTCACTATGCCGCTCTCGTCGCGGCGCGTCCGCGACGGAAGCGCATCGCGCATAAACACGCCTCTAAAGTGAGGCACGCGCGAGAGTATTGCCGCGTGATTCAACTATTCGTTCATCGTTATTCCGACGGACGGGAGGATCCCTAGCGTCTGTTCACGCGAAGTTTTTTTTAGCGTTTCCTCTTCTTCTCGTCGCAGACGCGCTACTTCCGCGCTTGTACGGCGCGAGGTATAAACCGCGACCCTCCATCGCGCGATCGTGACGTCGCAGTTCCTCCAACTGTCGTCGCGCCGTTTTGCGGTCGTTCACCGCTTTCGCGATTCCCGCTGCTCCTCCAGCCAAAGAGCCGAGAGCTCCCAATAACAGCAGCAGGGGCAAAAAGCCGCCGCGTTCCGCTACCGAAAGCGTTCTTTTTCTCATAGCGGTCATTCTCTTCTTGCTCTTCTTTCTTTTGGTTCTCGCCGCACCCATTCTGAGTTTCGTCTTCGATTTCACCAACTCATACGGCCGTCGCACCCATTCCGAATTTCGTCTTCGATTTCAGCCACCCATATGGCCGTTGCGGCGGCTCTCTCGCCGAGAGTCGAGTCTCTCGCCGCGACGCGTTCGCGCGCTCTCTCGGCGAGCGCGCGGTCGGCGATGTGTCGATCGACGAGCTCGCCGCTTCGTGAGTACGCAACGTCGTTTCGCGAGATGGGTGCCCGGCCCGCAAAATTGATATCCGGATATGTGTAGTTCGAAGGGGAGCGCGTTTATCGCTCTGTTCAATAAGCCGGTGCCGCCGATATCACCGGTCACACCGTTCCGCCGCTTTGCGAATTGCATTCGCCGCAATCTTTAACGAGCGGCGCCGGGCCGTCGATGTGCGTTCGTTGCGAGAAGCGATTGTAATGCTCCAGGCATCGACGGTAGCGCCGCATCTCCGGATCCACTCTTATATGTTCGGGCAGTCTCTCCCACAATCGTTCCATGTAGCGACCGAAGTGCTGTAGCAAGATTATCTTCAGGATAAACCGCAATTGCTCGGCGGTGAAATCGAGAATATCGTCGCCGTTTACTAGTAGAATAAACATCTCGATCCATCGCGCGCGATTCGCTACTGCGCGATCGACGACGATCTATTCGTATATAAATAAAAAAGTTTCGCCCCGCTTCGCGCGAGTATACCGCGCACGCGCGCGGCGAGAGGGATGCGCTTCGTGCGGCAGCCGATAGCGATAAGAGTGACGAACCTCGACAGTAGGGCGCGACCGTCGGAAGGGGCGCGAGCGACCGTGAAATACTGTTTAATCAGGGTAAAATAATACAGGAACTAACCCAAAAATCGCGCATCGCGGCGAATTCCGCGGCGAAGATACGGGAATTTAAAAATTTGACGTCGCGATTGACGAAAGACGGGAACGAGCTATCGGGGAGAGTGAGGGAACTGGCGAAGAGTCGCGGGAACAGCGACGACGCTCGGGGTAACGAACCACTCGAGAGAGCGACCTCGCCGAACGTCGTTAGAAAGAGGAGAGAATGAGCCCCGAAAAACGAAAACTAGTCGAGAAGTTGCACGCGCCCGCGAGAAGAAACATCCCGCGTTGTCGCGTCGCGGTGCGCGGGTACGACGACATGTGGCAGGCGGATGTGGTCGAGATTCGTTCTTACGCGAGACTCAACAAAGGCCATAACTACATGCTCATCGTTATCTACGCGTTGAGCAAACACGCGTGGGCCGTGCCGCTTAAGAGCAAGAGCGCCAACGAGGTTATCCGAGCGTTATCCAAAATAGTGCGAGACTCTAAGCGGTGCCCGAAAAATCTGCAGACCGACAAAGGAAAGGAATTCTACAACGCCGAAGTGCGAAAGTTCGCGGAGAAGCGCGGAGTGAATCATTACTTGAAGTACTCGGTGATGAAGGCGTCGATCGTCGAGCGATTCAATCGCACGCTCAAAAACTCCATGTGGAAGTACTTCACGCTGAACGGAACGTACAAGTGGATCGACGAGTTACCTCGGCTCGTCGAGGAGTACAATACGTGAAAACATTGCACTATAGGTATGAGACCCGTCGACATGACTCCAGCGATCGCCGATAAACTTTTAAATATGGTGTATAGCAACATAAAAATCGCGGCTCCGGCGAGATTCAAAATAGCCGATCCGGTACGCGTCAGCAAGTTCAAGACGATCTTCGAGAAAGGTTTCACGCCCGACTGGACCACCGAGATCTTTCGAATAACCAAGGTACAACGGACCATTTCCGTGACGTATCTACTGAAGGATTCGCGCGGCGAACAGATCGTAGGAGGATTCTACGAGCACGAATTGCTGCGCGTCCGCAATCCCGACGTGTATCTCGTGGAGAAGGTGCTGCGCCGCAGGGGCGACAAGGTTTACGTGAAGTGGCTAGGAATGGACGAGTCGCACAACTCTTGGATAAATAAGGCGGCTGTATTACGATAAAGAATGTAAAATTTTATTAAATAAACCGTTATTTATAAAATAAACTATGTTATTATTTTAAAATATATTTTAAAATATATTTTATTAAATAATAAACTAATAGATTTTTACAAATATATCATACGAAGGAGACAAATAAAGGAATGTCCACCGATGTTTCGAATCCCAAAATTCCAAGTCGAAGAATACAAGCTAGCGATATAAAGCTTGTATTCTTCGACCTCAAACTTGGAGACACGTATAACGAGTAATAATGCGATAGTAATAATACGCGGAATATATAAAACATACTATGTTATTACTTATAAAAAACGAATTGTAATTATTTATAAAAAACAAATTATATTATAATCAATATAATATCAAAATTCGCGTTCTTCGCGCTTCGCGACAATTTAAAGGATGTCAATCGATGTTTTCTCATCCCGAAGTTTCAAGTCGAAATATACAACCTTTTCTTCAACTTCGAAACTTCGGGATTCGAAAACTTGGGTTAAAAACGCTTGTTTCGGTCCTTTTCGAACCATCTTTGGCACGATCGCGAAGTATATAGAATATATTATATCGAAAATGCGATAGTAATAATAAGTGGAATATATAAAACATACTATGTTATTATTTGTAAAACATACTATGTTATTATTTATAAAATAATCTATGTTATTATTTATAAAATAAACTGTTATTTTTATACTAACAATAAACTACTGAAGTTTGAACGTTTTAAGAAGCGTCTCCGAGAGCGCGTTGGATAGAATGGCAAACGCACGTCTCGCGAAATTACAAAATATTTACGAGGAAACGCGCGAATTCGATTCCTGCGTTTGTTTATAAATATTTTTACGATTTTTGCGAGACATGAGTTCGTTATTCTCTTCTATCGCGCTCTCGGAGTATTTTGTTAAAATAAACTGTATTAAACGCGAATAATATTCATTACATTCCCCGATATACAACGTTTTTTTCGCTCCTTACAGCGGTATTCTATAATGTCCCCACGGTAAAGTATCCGTAGTTCCGGATATCACGTATCGCTTGTCATCGTGCGGACTGAGCGCGACCTTCGACTCCGACACCGTGTACACCTCGTGTAACTTGGACCTTACACAGGACTGCTCGCACGTCATCTCGATCTCTCGTCGAAGACAGCGCGCGTAATCGTCGAACGTTATCGTTCTCGCGACGACGCCGCTCTTGACGCCCTTGATCCTCTTCGTGTCGCCTCTACCGTCGACTTGCAGCGCGTACATATTTGCTCTGAGCCCGACGAATTTCGTCATGATCGCGCCGGTGTTCTCGTCCTTCATCGCACTCGGCACTCTTTTGTTAGCGAGAGGCATGCCGTACGCGTTGTCCGCCGCGTAATCGCTCGTGTCGAATCTATCCATGTCGCGCTTCATATCCTCTTCTATATCCTCGCACTCGACGCGATAGATAAGACTGTCCGTGTCCGTGTACATTATCCTATACTTGTCTCGATACAACGGTAACATATACTCGTAGTGAAATTCGTACAAGCGAATCTTGGACACGTCGAGGATGCATATACCCACGTAGACCGGTTTGTCGAACTTAATCTCGAGTTTGTGCAATTCCACGGCCACGAGATCCTCCGCGAAGACGCTTCTGCTGTGAAAGTTCGGCTTCGCGATCAACGCCTCCGCGCCGTATCGCCCGTCCCATAGGGTCGCGAGCCGGACGTCCGAGTGGTTGCGCACGTTCTCCATAGTCTTGCCGAACACGGCGTTATTCATCAATATGTAGAGATTTTTCTCGAACTCGTTTCTCGCGCTAATTCGCAGTCGCGTGTTCAGTTCGATGTATCCGCGCAGCCACGGGTATTGCGCGAATCGCAGTATTCTGTGTATCCTCGTAACGCGTAATAAGTGTCGAACGCATTGCTGCAGGTGGCGATAATATGTCACATAACGGCTCTTATCGTACAGCGTGGCGAGGAGTCTCTCCTGCCGTTTTCCGGGCGGCTTATCGCGCGTGGGGCAGAACGGCAAGTCCGCGTGAGAATCGTGAAGGTTGGACGGATACGCAAGGTCGACTTCTAGAATGTAACCGATAGACGAGTCGGTATCACGGACATTAAGTCGACGCTCGTCATGTCGTCAACCCATCGAAAATCCCCGTAAAGCAACGATTGACACATTGCCTATCCGTACAAATTGTTTATATCGAAGTACATGAGATAAAACGACGGTTCCGAGGGATCGTACGATTGTAAGTACTTGTTATTAGCGCGCGCGTATCTATTGGAACATTGACTTAGCCCGCCGCGAATTCCGCGTTCCACGAACATCATCATATCGGCTAACAACTCGAATCGAACGCCCGTATGCTTTAACATAGCGTCCCATGTGTATCCGGGTAACATGTAATAGTGCGCGGGATCTAAACCGTAACTCCTCATACACGCGTCGCGAAAATTTTCGAAAACATCGGCCAATAGGAGAACGTCGGTTTTTAAATACAAATCGCTATAGTCGCCCAGCATCTCGACGCGAAACCGCTCCCAGACTTTTATCGCGCGCGCGCAATTGCTCTCGGATATCGTGTCACCGGTCAGCGAACTGTGGAAAGCCTCGCGCGGCGGTAGACGAGTCTCCCGCAATTTATCGATGTCGTCGACGTACTCGTATGAAAATACGCCCTTTCGCACGAGAAGCTCGAAATCAGACCTCCGTGAAGCAGGCCCCTCATTTTAAAAAAATTGTTAGAGTTCTGGGTGCCCCCCGAAGAGTTCTAAAGTTCTCTATCGATTTTAGAAAGAGTTCTGTGGTTTAAAGCACCGAAAATAGCACTTGAAGATATGGGGGGGGGGGCCAACTTCACATTTTTCGCAACGTTAAGACGGTATAACTTTTTTGTTATCAACTTTAGCACTTTGATTGTTAAGGATAATTGATAGAACTCTTTGGGGGCCTACCAGAACTCTCAATAAAACAGCCGGTTATCGATAAAAATTTTCACCCCTATATATAGTTCAAGACCTATAGAGGTAAAATTTTTTCTCTGTAACGGGCAGTTCTGTCGGCAGTTCTGGCAGCCCCTCGAAGAGTTCTAACGATAACTATTAGCACTCGAAGCGCTACGATGCGAAATAAAAAAGTTCTCGCTGGTCGAAGTCGCAAATCCGAAAATTTTGTAAGTGCCGAAAATTTTGTAAGTCCCAGTGAAAAATTATTTTCGCAAATTCAACGTTCTATGGAGAGTTATGGATAGCCTCTCACGAGTTCTAAATATGGTAAGCTTGGTGAATATTTTTGATGCGTAACGAATAATCTCACGTTTTCTACATATATAACTATGTGACGGTTCACCTTTCCCGTACGCCGCGGATCAAAGCTCGCCGGTGCCAGGATTCGGGAGAAGGGGGAAACTCCAACTTACTGTCCTCGTATAAGCGGTTTAAATAATTAGGTTTATTCCAACGGTTATTATAAAAGAGAGTTAACACTGATAACTATGCGAAGCAGCATGCAGGAACGGTGCGTACAGAGTTTTGCGCGTGAGCGGTTGTCATTCATAATGCTATATGCAAGCGTGGTGCGCACAGAGTTTCGCGCGTAAGCGGTTGTTGTTCACAAGGCGATATGCAAGCGCGGTGCGTACAGAGTTTCGCGTGTGGTTGGTGCGCGTGGAGCTCGGGAAGCGAGCGTGGCTCAAGCGGCCGTGTTCTGTAATCGCGAAGGTTCGCATGCAAGTAAACTATGGTATTCTAGGCGGACCAGAACAGATCTTAAACGCTACGGGGTGTCGCGTGGCTTTCAATGTAATTCCAACTGCCTGGCTGCCTTATCCTTAAAAGGACGGGGCGTCGGCGTTCTCGGCGTTCTATCCTTAAAAGGACTGACGCTCCTTAGTAATTTGAAGGCCGTGCGCAAAGGTGAAATCGGCGCGACATTGGCGGGAATCTTAATGTCTAATTAACTCTACAGGTAGAATGCGCGGTATATACAGGGCGGTCTTACAATACGAACAGGTCGCGGTATCTATAATATGAATAGGTCGCGGTATATACAACGGTACTAGAGGCTATCAGGGCGCGAGGACCGGAGCGGTCTTATAGGTCGCGGTATACGTACAAACTGGTATTACAATCTAACAAGTCACGGTACGTGTACAAAACGGTATTATAATCTAACAGGTCGCGGTATTTATCTGGAAAGATGCGCGGAGACCAAAGTGGTCTTACGGTAGAAACGGGCGCGGTATATACAAAACGGTCTCACGGTATAAACGCGGTACGGACTTATCAACTAGTAGGAGGCGCCGTCCCAGCAACCGGGAAGCCCGGCATAACCACGGGTAGCCCGTGACCTGGTTTAACGCAAGGTAGGATGCGCCGTTCCAGCAACCGGGAAGCCCGGCATAACCACGGGTAGCCCGCCGAGCCTCAGAATTGCGGGCGGCTGGTCGGCCCGCGAGGCTGGTAACGTATCGTTACAACTAAAATAATATAATAACGTAATATTTTGTAGATGCTGCTTTATTTTACTTATTATATATATACTATTGCATTATACTATACTTATTATTATACTATATATTTATATATACTAATACTATAATATATTTATTATACTCTTCTCTCTCTCTTTCTCTCTCTCTCTCTCTCTCTCTTCTATCTCTCTCTACATTATACTATACTTGTTATGCTTATTATACTATTTTTTATATTATTAAACTATGACTTATTATATTATTTCATGCTAATTTTTATTAGTCTTTTAGGGAATTAAAAACTTTTTTAAAATTTTACATTTTTAAAAATAACTTCAAATTATTGTTTTGATTTGCAAATTGTTTGCAAATTTTTGTCGCATGTATCCGAGGTGTATTTCAAATGTATTTGAGAGTATTTGATCGCATAATCTTAATGTTTCACGTAAATTATTACATGCGGACATATCTCTTCTGTTCCATTTGGAACAGATTGTTTTGACGCCATATCATTGTATTTGTATCAACTTGTTCTTGTATAAGTATAC